TGGTGTACATCAGTAGGACTTCTTGAAGGTGATCGGTTGAGGCTTAAATGATGCTAGTGGAATGTCATGGCAAAGGGTATTCCAACAGAAGGGCCAGCCTGACAACGACTTGAGGGAGGAAGAGCCTGGCCTGTCTGAGGAACCACAAAACTTCTGTGTGGTTGATGCCTGAAGCCCTAGGCAAGAACAGACAGGCCATGAGGCTGGGGACCGTAGCAGCAACAGAAGCGGCAGCGGATAAGGAGCTGGGGCTTTCTCATGTGGGTGACCAAGGGAGGCTGGCTTGTAGGCGTCTCGGAAGCTTACCTACCCCAGGTACCATCCTTGAAACAGCTGACCTCCTATTCAGGGGTGTGGCGGGGATGGGGATGTTACGGGGGTGTCCATGAAGTTGTTTTTCTGCCCCAGCTGCGTGGCCACCTCCAGCTGATGGGTCTCCCCGGGGGGGAGGGGTTGGGAGACCGTTCGGTTTCACAACCCCCCTCCCTTCCCCCAGTGTCTCCGGAGGCCAAGAAAAGAGGAAGCGCTACGCTGACTTCCTCCTGGGTCCGGGTGCGCTCGAGTCCAGGCCTGTCCTTTGGAAGGGCGGGGGAAAGGGAGGGGGCGGGGCCCGGAAGGGGCGGGGCAGAGCGGGACTTGCCCGCCCGCCAGCGCTCAGCCAGATAAAAGGGCCTGGCCCCGCCCCGTCCCATTCTAAGATGGCAGAGCTCCTGCAGGGTGCTCCCGAGCTTGAAGCTAGGAGAACCTGTTGGTATCTCAGCTCTTTTAACGTACTGTTTGTTCCTGAGCAAGACCTCCTCTCTGAGCCTCACATCTTGAATGAGCGGGTACAAACTACCCAGCAGTTTAAAACAGACGGTGCAGATGAATTAACATGGAGAGAACCTCCAAGACATGCTTGCAGAATAGTATGGAGAGTACATTCATTAAAAAACACACAACCCCCCATGTTTTTTGTATTTACCTATATATGTGTGTAAAGGTGTAGAGAAGGGCCTGGAAACTACAGAGTAGACAAGAACAGAGATTGTCACTGAAGAAGAGAGGAACATT